CCACATGCACCACACACCACGCCGCCTTGCCTTGCTGGACGCCCGCCTCGCCAGCGCAGCGGCCTGCTGCCGTGGGCTGACACCTCCCCTCACGCTGCTGTGCCTGCCTGCCTGCCTGCCTGCGCACCGCCTGCCGCGCAGTGGGCAACATGAGCGTGGGCAACTCGCCGCGCATAGCCCTGAGCAACCTGGGCGGCCTATCACAGCTGGGCCTGTCGGGCATTGAGTTTGGCGGCGCGGCGGCCGGCGGCGGCGGCGGCCCGGCGGCCACCGCCACCGCCACCGCCACCGGCGGCGGCGCGACGGGGCCCCACCACGACCCGGCGTTCAGCACGGGAGCCATGCCGCCGCGGCTGGCGGACAAGTGAGGCGTGCCGCGCTGCAGCGGCGTGCGGCCTGCCGCCCTTGTATCCCCTTGCGAATCGGTTGAACTGCAGCAGGCAGTTGCGCAAGCCGCGCGGCATGCCTGCCTGGCCAGCAGCTGCGGTTGACGGCTGCCCCCGGCAGTCTGTTGCATGCCTGCACTCTTCTTGCACTCACCCATCATCTCTCTGGAGCGGCTGCTTTCAAGATCCTCTCTCTTTTCTCGAGAGCTCACCCTCTCTCTCTTCTTTCTCAGCGGTACTTCGGTGGCGGCCACTGCCTGCGCCCTGTCCAAGCCCCCCTGAGTGTGTGGCTGCACTCCCACCTGCCAACCTGGCAGCACGCCGCACCTGATGCCGGCGATGGGGCTTGCTTGTGCTTCCTTTTTTCTTTTTTGCTGCCCACCCTTTGCACGTCACACTGGAGAGTGTGCTTGCATGCATTGTGTGCAGTTTGTTTTTTCTCTCTTCAGTGGCCAGTTTCAAAGGTAGTGCCTACCCCCAATCACCCGTTTGTTTCTGCACAGCGAGCTTTCTCCCAACATAGAGCGATCCATGCCTCCGGAGCCCACATGCCCCGCTGATCAGCTATCCCTCTCTCTTTACCCTCCTTCCTACCTACTGGGTGACGCCTGCCCTCCACGCATGGGCTCTGCCCGCCCGGGCAAGCGGCATTGATAGACGTGACTTGCTTGCGCTCGGGCCACCTGGTTCCTTCATTTGACCTTACCTGACACGCAGCCCTCCCAGGTGCGGCTGCCGGCTGCATCCTGTAACCCTGACGGGGCGGAACAGCGCTGGCGGAGCAGAGGAAGGATGAGTCTTCGGGCGCGGGCGAGTGGTGTCACACACACGCACACGGGTGGCTGCTGTTGGTCGAGAGGCGCTGCAAAGAATCTGTTGTACTGGCAGGCTGGGAGCAGGCATCCGCCGTCCGTGGGGCTGCCGCCGGCCCGGCTCACACGTTGGGCGGCTTGCGGTCGAGCAGGAGCCAGAGGCCGCTGGAGTTCTCGGCCTCCTCATCCGACATCACCACCAGGAAGTGCAGGCCGCTGCGCGTGGCAGGCGTGGCAGCAGCGGCAGGCAGGGATGAGGCCCGGCAGTCGTGCAGGCCTCGACATCCCACCTTGGCAAGACGGGCAACGGCCCGCCTGCCGCCAACAAGTGCCGCCTGCAACCGCTTCATGCGCCAGGCTAGCTGCTGCTGCATGAACCAGGGCCACTCACCCCACGGCCTGCTTCGCCTCCTCCCAGGCCTGCGCCTCGGCGGTGGTCTCCAGGGTGCGCCGGTACGCTCCGTACCTGCGGCATGGCACAGCCAGGCAGTACAACACCTCCCTCAACATCCACAGCAGTGCGGCAGCCCTGCCCGCGTTGCCTCCCCCCCTACATAGCACACACGTCGGAACAGACGGGCGGCCCTGCTCCCCAAACGAGCACGAGAAGCAAGCTCCCGGCCCCGCCCTCGGCAGCCACAGGGGCTGTGCATGGTGCCGCCGCCGCACCTCCAGCGCTGGTTGAACCCTGTCTCCAGTATGAGGAAGGCGCGGTCGGTGTCGGCCACCACCGCAGACAGGTCCAGGCCGTTGGTCCAGGCAGCCAGCGGGTCGGCGCGGCGGCTGTACACAGCCACGCCCGGAACCAGCGTGTCTGGCGCCAGCTGCTGGCGCATCGCGCCCAGGTCCAGCGTCGCGCCAAACGCCTTGCCCGCGGCCACGGCCTCCAGCTCCTGCGGAAGCAGGAAGGGAGAAGGCAACACACGAACACACACACAAAGCTGGACGAGAGGCAGGGAGCGGGTGGGGTGCGGCGGTAGGAGTCGGCAGCGCGCCGGTGCCGCATGGTAGCCCGCTCTGGCCGCGTCACGGCAGCAGCCCTGCCGCAGCGCTCCCCACGGCAGCAGGCCCTGCCCCAGCCCCAGCCCTGCCCCCCAGGCCCACCCCACCCCCACCTGCTGCAGCGTGGCCAGCGGCAGCTGCACAAACGACCACTTCTCGCCGCGCAGCGCGTCGGGCAGATCCTCCGGTGCGCCCATCTCCACAGTGAACAGAGTGGAGGCCTTCTCGTTATACCCTGGGTGCGCCTCGTACACGCTGCCCATGCGGTCCTCCAGCCAGTCTGCGGGCGGAGGAGCGAAGGCGGGAGGCGAGGGTGGCATGAGGGGCAGAAGCGCGGCAGGGCGGCGGGCTGGCAGGCGCACGGATGGCGTGTCTGCATGCGGGGAGGTGCTGACGTGGCAGGCCGGCCCCCCGCACGCGTGTGCCCACACCTCCCCACACATCCCCGCACGCCCACACCCACACCATCGCAGCTCCCCCGGCCAGCCGCTCACTCATGAGGGTGAAGCAGCGGCGGGAGGGCATGGGGGTGATGCCCAGGTCGGACAGGGCGCGGCTGATGATGGTCTGCATCTGCCCGCGGAAGAAGCGGGCGGTGGTGGGCCGCACCGCGCCCGGCTGCGCCAGGATCGCCTCCAGGGCCCTCTTCAGCTGCAGGCGCAGCCAGCAGGAAGGCAGGTGGAGGGGGTCGGGGACGGCAGCGGCGAGCGTGGGGGCCAGGGGTGCGGCGCAGGGAGCAGGGCTGCCGCCTGCCCAGGCTCGCCGCATGCATGCCTCTGCCGCAGCGCCTGTGCAGACGGTGGGCCCACCCGCTGTGCGCGCCTCACCTCGCTGCTGTTGATCTTGTTGTTGGGGATGAACTGTGCGTACTCAAAGGTGCGCTGCGGGTCGCAGATGATGAGCTCCCACACCTTCTTGCCGCGCTCATCCAGGATGGGGCGGCTGCAAAAGTCAAGCTCCCACACGTCGGCCCGCGGCACCGCCTTGCTGTCTGCTGCGGGAGCGGCTTCGCCAGCGGCGGCCTCGGCCTGGCTGGCCACCGCGGCGGCGGCCGGGGGCGCGCCGCCCTCGGCGGCGGTGCGCCGCCACTGCCGCCGCCGCCGGCTGCCGCCGCCGCTGCTGCCCAGGCTGCTGCTGCTGCTGCCGCTGCGCGAGGGCGCTGCACCTGGCACCCCCGCCGCTGCTGGTGCATGCTGGCAGCCCCGCCTGGGCCCCAGGCAGCGAGGGGCTGGGGATAGAGCACTGGATAGGCCAGCAGCTGCTGCACGTGCCTGCATCATGGATGCTTCGGTATGATGCTACAATGCACGTTGCAGCCAGCCCTGGGAGCAATGCGGTTCTGTGGGTAGGAAGTGCAGGTCAGCCGGTGGAACAAGGGCCAAGATGCGCCCCTGGGACTACGGGAGCTTGCTATTGAGCAGCGGGACCTCGTCTGACACCCATGCCCTACTTGTTTGGGGCAACAGGCCGAGAAGAAGGTGCCAGCATGCTCAGCACGAAATGCGTGGAATCGCAGCATTCGATCTCTTGGTGAGAAATTCCACATCGCAGTGTACTTGCAAGCTCTCGGAGGCTGCAAGGAGGACGGAGAGGGTCCCCAGGACACGACCGGAACCAGCACTGCCTACAGGCATATGAGGTAAGGTTGGGGCGAACCTGGGGGGCGCTGAGGCTCAGCCGGCGCAGCTGGCTTTCTGCAGGAGTCTCCTACATGCCTGCCTGCCTGCCAAAACGCCCTCGTTCCCTGCGGCCGTCCGTATAAGTGCCTTCAGCCCGGGCTGCAGGTGCCACTGCCCCAGCCCGATGAGCAGCATTAGCAAGGAGCACCTAGACGGCCTGCCAGCAGATTTCGCGGCCATATGTGACCTGCAGCTGGTGGGGCAGGTGTGTGCCCCCTGCCATGCCTCTTGCGGCCGGTTCACTTATTGCGTGTCGCAGTTGCTTGCTGCCTGGTAAACTAGTAGTGGGGCTGCAGAACCTTCTACGGCCGCCAGCCGCGGCACAGGGGCAGCGCCTTAAAGCCAACACTGAACCGCCCCCTCCCACAACCAGCCACTTGCCTCCCGCTGCTGCCGCGCCCTGCAGGGCCTGCGCTTGCCCGTGCACAAGACCATCCTGGCCCGGTACAGCGGCCATGCCCGCTCCCTGCTGAGCGCCATTGGCGAGGGCACGGTGGCGCCGAGCAGCACCGGCGAGGAGCTCGCCGCCGCCCTCAGCGCCCCGCTGGGGGACGCCAGCACAGCAGACACCACAGCCTTCCTCAGGCTGCTGTACAGCCTGACCAGCCCAAAGCTGCTGGTGGAGGCGCTCTGTGGCATCCAGCGCGACGCGGGTGAGCCGCGGCAGCCCTGCCTGCAGCCGGGTGGGGAGCTAGCTGGGCGAGGGGTCGGATGGCCGGCGCATCACAACCATGCCCACCTGGCGGCCCCTCCCAAACCCTGCAGATGGCAAGCAGGTGGTCTTCTCCTTCTCAGTGGAGCCCGCCCTGAGGCTTGCCAAGGCAAGGGCAAGCACGCTGACGGCTTGGGCCTGGAGCCCTGCCATGCACGCCAGCGCTGCCCAGCCCGCCCCATGCCTTTGCCCTCTGCCCGCCACCACCCCCAAAGGATAGGCTCCCCTGCTGTGCCGCCGCTCTGATGCTTACCTCACCCAATGCTGCTGGCTTCCCCCTCCACCTGTTGCCTACCACTGCAGGCCTACGACTGCCCCGAGGTCTTCCAGCTGTGCGAGCAGGCGCTGGTGCAGGTGCCGGTGCTGCAGCTGGCGGTGATGATGTCGCCCATCCGCTGGATCCTGCTGTTTGACGGTGAGCCAGCCTGCCGGCCCTGGCTGTTCTGGTGGCAGCACCTGGCCTGCCCACGTGCCAACACGCACGCATGCTCACTCTTTGCCCTGGTCCTCCCCTCCCTGGCCAGAGTACGAGCACCTGGGCTACTTCCACAAAGTGCGGGGCCTGGCCCTGTGCTACCTGTGCGCCAAGTTTGCCACGCTGCAGAGCGACCCGCTGCTGGCGCAGCTGAGCGCCGCCACGCTGGTGGACGTGGTGCGCATGGTAGGGCAGCGCCTCGGCTCGCTGGCGCAGGTGGGTGTGGGCAGGAGTGGCCAGGGTGCGCGGCTAGATGGCTCATTGTGTGCGGGTGTGTAATGTGTGGGGCTGGGGCCAGAGGGGCATTGGCACCTGTTGACAGGCACACGGCAGCAAACGCGTTGCTCGGTGCCTTGGCGGCTTGCAGGGATGCATGCCACGCTCCTGATCCACGTCCCCGCCTGTCCGCTGCCTGGCTTGCAGGGCAGCGGCCACGTGCAGGCTGTGCAGGACCGTGCGATGCAGCGCTTCACGGCGCTGGCGCAAGAGGCACGCAGGCCGCTGCTCGACCGCTGCTGTGCCCTGCCGTAGGACTTTTCTGTTGGCCTGCTGCTGTGGCCTGCTTGTGTTCTGCACCCTGAAACATACCCAGGCTTACTCTTTGCCGTGGTGCTGTGCAGGTGGCTGCACCGTATTGCCCGGATCCTCGCCGCCCCAACCACTTCGTGACTCACTGGGCTGTCTCCACCACCAGCCACAGCATCAAGCTCAGCTGGGTGCATGATGGCGGCGCCGAGCAGCCACACGCAGCTGGCCAACAGCAGGCGGCTGCGCCGCAGCACCATCAGCAGCTTCCAGCCCAAGTTGTGGCAGTTGGGGGGGTGCAGTGCCATGCTGGGCCTGCTGTGGTACAGCCGGTGGTGGTGGTACCGCAGGTGCACGTCCACCTGACTGGCGCCTGGCAGGTACCTGAGCAGGCGGCAGCGCCGCTTCCTCACCAGCAGGCTGCCATCGCGGCACGCGCAGAGGTGAGCACACTCTGGTCTGCATGCAATAGAGCTAAAGCAGTGTCCCTGTGCCAGGCTTCAAATGTTGGCCGTCCCCCATGTCCCCCCACATCGATGCAGGCTCAGCCGGGCGAGCTTGCCGGCCAGGCAGGCGGCCAGCAGGGCAGCGGGGAGGAGGCGCAAGAGGAGGACGAGGAGGAGCGGTGGAGCGATGGAGAGGGCGCACAGGACGGGGAGCGGCAGCAGCTGGAGGAGGACACTGTCAAGGAGGAGGCCGACATGATGCCTTCTGCTTTTCGGCATGCCAGGCACACCAAGCCTGCCGGTCGCTTTTCGCCGTACTGAGAGTCCTGCCAGGGCTGTTGGATGCGCAGCACCAGCATCAAAGGACCTAGCTGGAAAAGAGGCCTGCGCATGTGCAGCCTGGGCGCTTGCCGCCCACTTGAATTCTCTCCTTCCAGGATCGGGGACTGACTTCATCCTTACGTTGACAGAAAAGTATTTCTGGTTACTTGCGGTGACATTCTTTCTATATCTACTGATAATCCAAAGCACTACCTACCTTATGATTGCATACCCTGCAGCCACGATCAGGTTGCGCTGCAGCTGTGAATCGCATCTCAGCACCCTGTGCCAACATCCTCCCATTGAAATTGTTTCCTTATCTTCCTTTGAAATCTTGCCTTACATCGTAACATACGAACGTCCATCACACAGAAAAGCTGGCACAGGATGCGGTGCAAAGATGTGGGCGGGCCTTCACTCTGCATGAAAGCTGGCCTCCCACCACTTGGGACGTGGCCCCTTCAGCGAGACAGCCAGGGCTGGCCGGTGAGCGGCCTACATGCCCGGCGGCATGCCGTACGCAGCGGCGGCACCCGGGAAGCCGGCGCCGGGCAGCGGCAGGCCGCCGGGTGGCAGCTGCACCGCGGGCGCCGCCGCCACGCCCGCGGGCGTGCCGTCGCTGATGCTGTTGTTGGCCAGCAGCTGGGCCATGATGAGGGGGCCCAGAGGGGTGGGGTCGGGGGGGGCCTGCAGAGCGCAAGGGCGCCAGCCAAAACCGGGAGGCGAGGCACAGGCAACCAGTCAATTCGGGCGGAAGCGGGAGCAGGGGCTGGCAGGCAGCCATCCAGCTTGCCCCCTCGTCTGCCAGCCCCTCCAAACACGCGGCGGTTGGCCTGCCCAGCACGCCTGCCTGCCACACGTGCCCAGCAGGCTGCCGGTAGCCCCCAAGCAGGCTGAGGCTCACCCCGAAGGGCGGCGTGTAGTCCTTGGGGCGCTTGATCTTGAGCGTGTTGCCGCGGAAGGGGATGCCGTCCAGCTGCAGCGCCGCCGTGGCGTCGCTGGTGTCGCTGCAGCGGCGGGGAGGGGCGGAGGGAGGCGGCGGCGTCAAGGGGGCGCCAAGGGGGCGCCAAGGGGGCAGGGCGCAGGAGGCCAGGGGGGTCAAGCGAGCAGGCCACGCCGACGGCGACCATCGCAGCACCACTAGAAGCAACTCACGCGCGCCACAAGGCACCCACCCGAACTCGATGAAGGCGAAGTTGCGCTCGGGGGTGACCTGGCAGGCGATGATGGGCGCCTTGCCCGCCACCTGGCATATGCCCAGCGCCATGAGCGCCTGGTTGAGGAAGGTGGTGAGCATGAAGTCGTAGCAGGGCTGGGGCAGGCCGCCCACGTACAGGCGGCGCATGGGGCGCGTCATCTGGTTGAGCTGGCCCATCTGCGGCGGGGGCGGGGTGTGAGACACAGGGGCAAGTGGGGCAGGTGAGGCAGGTGGGGCTGGGAGGGAGCGGCAGCCCAGGGCGGCTGTGTTGGGGTGGTCGGGCCCGAGGCTGATGCTGTTGGGCTGCCCTGCACCCAGCCAGGAGCACGGCGCTGAGCAGCAGGCGACGCGCCCCACGCACTCACCTGCGGCTGCACGGGCATGGTGGGCATGGTGGGCATGGTGGGCATGGCCGGCATCTGAGGCATGTTGGGCATGCTGGGCATCGAGCCGGGCATGTTGGGCATGTTGGGCAGGCCGCCAAACCCTGCAGGCAGCAGTGCGCGGTTAGCAGGGGAGGGCTGCTGCTGATGTGGCGGGGAGGACGGGGAGGGGATGGATGGGGATTGGGAGGGAAGATGGGGTGGGGAGGAGGAGGGGAGGAGGAAGGGAAGGAGGAAGGGGAGGAGGGAGAGGAGGAGGGAGAGGGAAGGGAGGACAGCGAGGAAGCCTGGTGAACCTGATGCAGGCAGCAGCGCGCAAGGCCGCTGCCGGCACACCAAGCGGCAAGCAGGGTGCCTGGCAAAGGCCCCAAGCAGGCGTGCGCTGGGCGCCACCGGCGCGCGGCGGGGCTGCGGATACGGCACTGCGACGGAATGCTGTGCTGGGGCTGGGGCTGGGGCTTGCCTGCCATCATGGGAGGCATGGTTGGCATGATGGGCACCACCGGGGCGCGGTCCCCAGGCTTGACCCGCTCAATCTCGTACACAGGCGCCCGCTCCACCACCACCTTCTCCCGCCGAGGGCTGCGCCGCCGGTCGCCCGAGCGGCTGCGCGAGCGCCTGCACAGGCAGCAGGGGCGAGGGCAGGGCCCATGGAAGGACGGGGGTAAGCTTGGCAAGGCGCGATGGGCGATCGACTGTGCCATTGGCTGCCGCAAACAAAGGCTGTGGCGACAGAGCAAAGCCCCTGTGAGCGAGGCGGCAGCCCACCTCCGCCGGCGGTCGCGGCTACGCGACCGGCTGCGCCGCCTCTCCCGGCTGCGGCTGCGGTGGCGACGCTTCTCACGGCTGCGCGACCGGCTGCGGCGCTTGCGGTCGCGGGAGCGCGAACGCTTGCGATCCTCCTCCTTGCCCTTGACGGCCGCCGGCACCGGCGCGCCGCCCTCTGCCGGCGCTGGCTCGGCACCCTCCGCCTTGGCGCCAGCGTCCTCTCCTCCAGCAGGTGGCGCCGGCTCGGCTGCGGCATCACCACCCTGAGGTGGGCTTCGCTCGCCGGCCCCCTGATCGGGCGTGGTGGCCTCTGCCGGCGGCTCGGCTGGCGCCTCCTTGGGCTGCTCGTCGCCGGGCTCTACGGGCGGCGCCCCATCAGCGGTGTCTGCGGGGGGCATGGCGCGGGTCGGCGCGCGTGGGCTCTGCACTGCGCAGGCGGCCTTTGTCAAACACTGATGTAGCGGGACACGCGCGATGGGACGCCCAATTGTGCGGGGAGCTTTCCCGCGGCTTGCCTGCTGCGCCTCTGAAACCTGAACGCTCGAAAGCTGTCCTGGGCCTCAGGCTTCTCGCTGCAAGGCATGCACCATGGATCGGTACCAGGGGCTAGCAGAGGAGGTGGCAGCGCTGCTCAAAAGCGAGCACCGCGCTCACTTGACCCTCCCCGACCTCTTCCAGCTGCAGCGGCGAGGCCATATATCGCTGCCAATCGACCTCACGCATCTGGGTTGTCTCTTCCAGCTGGACAGGTGCGAACGGCGACGGCGCGACAGCCTGCGGCGGCTGTCCGGCGGAAGCTCCGCAGGCCGCGTCGAGCCGGGGCCTGTCGACAGCTTCCAAAGGCACTGAGAGCAGCCCGCGACGATACTGCGCTTCTGTGCAGGAGCCACACCGGCTGCATCTCCACCGACGACCTGTCGGCGCTGCTGGAGCTGTGCCGGGCGCGGGCCAGAGACTACCAGAGCTTCGAGTGCGAGGCGATGCTGCAGGGCTACTGCACGCTGCAAATGTGGCGCGCCATGAGCGCGCCCGACGGCCTGCAGGCGTTCAGCAGCTGGTGAGCAAGCCTCTGTGCATGCAAGTCTCCTTGGCTCCCGCTGCGCCGGCCTCCTGCCCCTCTCTGTCAGTATCTCTACACACTCATCCCCAACACCCATCCACCCTGCAGGATCTGCAACCTGGTGCTGGAGAGCAGCGCCAAGCGGCGGGCCTTCAGCCGGCACGGGCGGCAGCAGTATGTGGGGCGCGACGCCGTGGCGGCGCTGCACCAGCTGCTGCGTGTGCAGCAGACCCAGTCGCTCGACTTCCAGGCCTTCTTCGACCTGCTGCAGCGCTGCGGCGAGGAGAAGCAGCTGCTGGAGCTCAGCGACGAGGTGGGTGGGGTGCGACTAGGTGTGCGGGAGGTGGGAGGGGGCATGGGATGAGGCAGGCAACACCAGCGGCTGGGCGCAGCGTGCTGGTGGCAAGCGCTACCTCGCCCGTGTGCTGGCTGCGTGTTTGCAGGACCAGGATGAGTGGGTGCCACTGGATGTGGTGAGGGACCTGGTGGGCAGCCTGTTTGCCAGCTCGGTGAAGCTGATGGGAGACATCTGCCCCGCGGACGAGCTCAACTGGCAGGAGCTGTGAGAGCGCCCTCGCACCCTAGTTACCGGCGACGCCTGCCTCTACGGGAAACCACTACCGTCTGCCCCCTCACTGTACAAAACGACGCTCCTGCACGCTCTGACTTCTGATACACAACGTTTGACTTTACATTTGTCCATGATTAATTGGCTCAGTGACCGCTAAACACAAATAAATAGCAACAACCACAAAAGTGAGGAACGTCGAGTCATACAACAGGCAGCGCAGAGCGGGCAGTTGGGTTGGTTGGAAGTTGAATGAATGGGTGACACTATGGCGTCAGTCCCGAGTGGCATCCGGCCACCACCGCTAGCGCCAAGCTATGGGCTCGGCGCTGTGAAGAATGGAGCTAGGGCGGCGTGGGGGTGCGACAGGGCGGCAGTAATCCAGCAAGCTGAATGAGCAGTCACATCAACGTGTGGTCAGCGCTCACCGCGGCGAGCGCAGCGGCACCGCAGGCGCCTGCTGCTGGTGGCCGTGCAGCGCGAAGCGGGCCGGGGGGTTGATTGCCGACACCGTCTCGGCATGCAGGTTGAAGGCCAGCAGGTCGCGGGAGATGAGCTCGGCAGCCTTTGCCTCGGCAGGCGACGCCGGCGCGCGCGGCGCGGGCCGTGGCGGCGGCTTCGCCTTCTGCTGCTGCTGCTGGGGCTGGCGCGGCTGCAACTGCGCGTAGTAGGTGCCGGCATTGGGGGCAAAGGGGTTGGCGGAGGCCTGGGGCTGCGCGATGTGCTGGGTGTAGCCGTTGACGGTGCCGGCGTGGAAGGCAGGATCATACGCTGCACCTGCCGGTACCAGCTGCATGTGGGCGTAGCTGCCCGGCGCCGCCGCGGAGGGCTGCGGCGCCCAGGGTGGGCAGTAGGGCGCGGGCTTGGGCGGCTGCGTGGCGGCAGCCTGGGCAGCGGCGGCCGCAGCAGCGGCCTCGGCCGCCTCGGATGCCGGCTGCTGGCGGGCCGCCAGCGCGGCGCCAATGTCCCAGCTGCCCAGGTTGGTGGCGGGCTGGGAGGGCGCCAGCGAGTCGCCTGCACACACAGAGGGAGGGGGTCGGGCGCTGGGTGTGGTTGGGACTGGCCCACAAGTGGTGGCCTGCTGGGGAAGGCACGGCTGGGAGTGGCGCACCAACTGGCCCCCTGCTGCTGCTGGCATGGCTCGGGGCGGCTTGCCTTGCGTCTGTGCGGCACCTTGGGGGCTGCCCAGGGTGAAGGCCTCCTCCAGGCTCCTCATGGGGTCCGCAGCCTGGGCCTGCGCCGGCGCCAGCGTGGCGCCCAGCTGGCCACCAGCTGGCGCCGCCACTGGCTCCGCGTCAAAATCCATGAGGTTGATTGCCGCCGCCGCGGCTGCCGCGGCCGCGCGCCGCCCCTCCTCGGCCCGCCGCTGCTCTTCCGCCTCGGCCGCCTGCTGCGACGCCAGCAGCTGGCGCGCACGCTCTGGCGGCAGGAAGTCGCCCAGGATGGCCAGCAGCTCGGGGCCGTCGGCCAGCTGGTGCGGCGCGGGGGGCCACACGCCCGCCGCAAACTCCTTGCCCACATACTTGCGGCGGATGTACGCCTCAAGCTCTGCGGCGGCAGGGTGGGAGCAGACAGTAGGGAGCATGCGGAGGGCGGGCGCCTGCTGAGCGCCAAGTGCGGGCGGGCGAGGGCAGGGTGGGAGCAGGCGCCGCCGCGCGGGGCGGGCACAGGCTGGGCCCAGCGCCTCCCAGCCCAGTGCAGCCCAGCGCAGCCCAGCGCACAGCACTGCGGTGCAGCCGCACGTCGGCCCGCCCCCGCCCACCTGGCAGCGTGGCCGCCTGGGCCGGCTTCTGGCCCTGCCCCAGGCTCGCCTCCCAGTATGCGTTGCCCAGGGCGTTGCCAGTGCGAGCCATGAACTCAACCTGCTCTGGCAGCCAGGTGTCGAGAGAGCAGGAACGCACCTGCAAGGCAGGAGGCAGGAGCGGGTATGCCAGGAGGGCGCGGGCGGCGCTGGGGTCAGGGCAGCGAGGGCAAAGCGGGGCAGCGCGAGGGGGTGGCAGGAGCGCAGGGGAGCGCGCCGTGCGAGCCGACCCGGCGGGCGGGTAGGCGACGCGGCGGCACAGCGGGCAGGCTGCACGGGGCGGCTGACGCGTGGCGGCGCGCGGCCTCTGGCGGGTGTACCTTGCTGATGTGGACGCCCATGCCGCGGTGCACCCCCGCGCAGCGCATGCAGATGAAGACGCCGCAGTTGATGGATGCCCAGGTGGGGCGCGACCCCGCACCCGCCCCCCCGCAGTCGGCGCAGGCGCGGTTGGCCGGCAGCTCCAGCAGGCGCCGCAGTGCGGCCAGGTAGCGCTGGTTCTCCTCCATGCTGCGGGGCGAGGAGGGGGGCAGGGAGGGAGGTGGGGAGACGGGGAGGCAGGGGTGGGTGTGGCTCCGTGTTTTGCAATGGCCAGCAGAGGAGCAGAGAGGCAGAGCGGCAGATGGGCAGATGCGAGAAGCGCAGGCCAGGCCTGGGCCATGCAAGCGCCGTGCCTGCTGCCCCCTTCCGCGCCCTCTCCTGCCGCCGCCCCTCACCTCACGCCCTTGGTCTCCCCCGCGTTCCTCAGCGCCGCATCCCCGGGGTCGCGTTCCCGGTAGTCTGGGCTGCCCGGCTGCGCCTCCTCGCCGCCGTCGCCGCCGGCCACCGGCGTGGACAGGTGGCCGCCGTCCTGGGCCGCCGCCTGCCAGCCCTCGGTGGGGGCCTGCGGGCCGCCCTGGGCGGCCATGTCGAAGCTGGAGAAGCCCTGGTAGGCGCCCCGCCGCTTGCCGTGCGCCTCGCGCTCCGCCGCCAGCCGCGGCTCGTCCCTGAGCAGCGCCAGGATGGCCTGGGCCCTGCGGGAGGATGGATGGATGGATGCAGGAGGGCGGCGGGGAGGTGGGGCAGCGGCAGGTGCTGTGGGCGGCCGGCTGAGGCCGTGGCGCCTGCACGGCTGCCAGCAGCAGGAGACGCGGGAGGGCAGCCAGGCAGCGAGCGGGAGGAGGCGCGAGCGGGCTCACCTGTGCCGCACGTTGGCGCCTGAGTCGCGACCATTGGCCTCCACGCAGGTGAAGGCGGCGGCGAGGGAGTCAAGGCGGGGCACCAGCGCGCCGCGCGCCCGCGCCACGCACGGCTCGCTGCCGTGGCGCAGCAGGTACTCCAGCAGGGTCAGGCCCTTGTACACATTGCGCCACTGCAGGGGCAGGGCGGGGAGGGCGGCGGCGTGGGCGCTGGGGGGTGGTGCGAGGCGCGGCAGGGACGGCCGAGGCTGGCCGCGCTGGCGCCGGGCAAGGAGCGGTGCTTGGATGGCAGCAGGCGGCGCTTGGATGGCGGCAGCGGCGCTCCATGAGCGGCGCCCATGCCCAGCGCATCCCTCCGCGGCTTCTCGGCCAACCGGCCCACATACCTTCTTGGGCGGGTAGCTCAGGCGCAGGTCCACAACGTGCAGGATGGTGGCGCAGTCGGCGGGGCTGAACGACAGCTCGCTCAGCCGTGCCAGCTCGCTGCCGGTTGGGCCCCACGGCTGGTTGTGCGTGGCCGCCCGCGCCTTGCGCTCCGTCAGCGAGTAGGGCTTGAAGCTGCAGGCAGGAGTGATGGGCGGCGGCGGGGCGGTCGGGTGGCGGCGGCGGCGGCGGCCCGCAGGGCACAACTAGAGCCTCCAACGCCTCCCCCCAACTTCAGCTTGCCTGCCATGCTTCACGGCGGTGCCATAGTCACGAAGCCAGGCCAGAGCGGAGTCCTCCGTGGTGCTCATTGCGGACCGAGATCGCTGTGGTTTGGGGCCTCAGCAAACTGGGACGCTCTGCTGCGGCCGCTTCAGGACCTCCAAGGGCCCAAACCGGCAGCGAGCGGCAGATCGGTGTGCCGCGTGCGGCCAGCAGGAGGCTGCCGAATGCTGCTGAAGCTTTCTGGCAGTCCGTCCGCACTGTGGCCCTGTCTTGAGGCTTGGGACGCGCTTGTACGGAGTACTGCAGCCCCCAACCTGGCGTCGCGCCAACACAAAATGACAGGGCAGGACAGCCGGGGAACCCGCACTCAGGGCATGGCCCGCAATGCGTTACCCTCCTGCTCGGTTGAGCATGCAAATTGGTGTAGCTGGAGATGCCGGCATCACACGGTGCGGTCACTTGCACAGGGCATGAAGGCAGGGCATAGCACTGAATCAAAAAGCAGGGCACAGGAGAGGAAAGGCAGCAGGCATCGAGCTGCCGGCATAGGGGCCGACTTCGCTGCCCCAGACTGCGCAGCAGCGTCAGTCCCTCCAGCCCTCCCTCCCTTCCACCGTCTCTGCCGGCTTGCCCCTGCATCGACCAGAAACAGTCACAGTCAGCGACACAGCTGCGGCAACATGCCGCCCCATACTGTAGCATGTCCTGCTCCTCAAAGCTCCACCCTGCACCTCACCCGGCCCCGTCTCGAACCCCACCTGGGCGACTCAACGCCCGGCACGCCCGTGTCGGCGTCGCGCCTGTCTGCAGGCGCGCCCTCCCACTCCTCTGCCGCCCAGCGCTTGTTGCCCTCCTCGTGCCCATGCCCCTCATGCTTCATCTCCTCATGAGCCTTCTTGCCTGCATGCAGCGTGAAGGGCAGGGTGTCAAGGGAGCGCTAGCGGGGACTGCGCCCGGCGCCAGCGCCGCCCGCCGCTCTGTCGGCCGGGTCGACTTCGGGTGCCCATCTCCTGTGCGCGCCCTCTCACCCTTCAGGTGCTCGGGCAGCGACCATTCTGGGCCCAGCTTGGCTTTGTCCATCTCGGCTCGGCTCGAAACCCAAGTGCACTGTGTGCGCGGTCGATATGCGTGGCAACGGTGTCGGGTGTACAATGAGAAACGATTGGTGGTGGTTGTAGGGCATGGGCCACTAAGGAAGAGTGCCCCGTCAGCCTCTGGCATTAGAATGCACACGGGAGTCTTCCTATCGCTCCCGCAGCGTGTTTCGACAAGCACCAACACTGATTTTGATACTGTGGCACCGCCGTCAGCCTCCATGAGCCCGCGCCAGTCCTTGGTCAAGCATGCGGGAAATTGCGACAGTCGCCCGGCCGCGCCAATGAGCGCCTGAACCGCAGCAAGCAATAGGAATGCTGTTTGGAGAGGGCTCAACGCTGGGGAGAAGATCCACGCGGGTGCGCCTTTGGACGCAGGGCCCGAGTCGTGCGGCATAAAGCGCCCGCTAGCCAGTCGGTACCTGAGCTGGCTCGCCGGCATGCCCCTTACAGCAACAACAGTGGCGCCCTCCGACCTCCCCAGCCGCTGCCAACCCCATGCCACCGCCGCCGCCGCCGCCGCCGTGTGCAGGTCGAGGCCCAGCAGCGGCAGCAGCAGTATGCCGCAGAGCTGCGGGCGCAGGTGGCCGCCAAGGAGCAGCAGCGGCAGAGCGAGCGTGCCCACAGCCTGCGCCAGTCGGTGACTCTTCTGGAGCTGCGCCAGGCAGCGCCGTCGGCGGTGCTACCTGGGGGTGCCGCCGTTGGCTCCGCCCGCGGCGTCTTTGTGGCTGGCGCCGCCATGCCGCTGCCATCCCAGGCGCAGCAAACACGGGCAGGAGCAGGGGCCGACTGGTCGGCGCAGCACAGCGGCCCGCCGCAGGGCCAGCAGCAGCAGCGGGCATCTTGGGGCTGGCAGCCGCAAGCGGGGCCTCCACCCCCACCAGACATGGAGGAGCGAGGTGGAGCTGGGCTGGCACCGACGATGTCGAGGCAGCTGCCGCCCCTGCAGCAGCAGCAGCAGCAGCAGCAGCAGCAGTCCTACATGCAGCAGCAAGGCTGTGCAGGCGGCCACGGCCAGCAGATGTACAGCGCCCCTTCCTGGCAGATGGGCCCGCCGCAGGAACAGCCGCCCCAGCCGCAGGCCCTGCCGCTGCAGCCGCCATACGGCACGAGCATGCAGCACCAGAGCGCGTCCTTGGAAGCTCCCATGCCGCCTCCAGGCTGGCAGCCACCGGTAGCGCAAGCACCGTTTGGAAATGACCTGCAGCCGCCCACAGCCCGGCGCCGCAGCCTGCGGCAGCCCAGCACCTCAGGCCCTCCCGGGCTGCCACCCTGGGCTGCGCAGCCCGGGACAGCAGGCAGCGGCAGCCCTGCGCCCATGCTGCCAGGAGCGGGAGGTGCAAGGGCCAATGGAGGCCTGGCGTCCATTGGCGCGGGAAGCAGCCAGGGCACGGCCAGGGAGGCTGAGGGGCGGAAGCAAGCGGAATACAAGGCAGACCTCGAGCGCCAGATGCAGCTAAAGCAGGAGCGCCAGCGCCAGGTCGGGCAGGGCGGTCAACCCTGGGTGCTTTGTGGCAGATGGAGGCTGCTCAGGGCTTGGCCTGGGAAGGCTCTGCGTGTGAGTGTGTGTGCATGCAGTAACCTTCCTGGATTGTTGATGCCATATCCCGCCGCCCCTGCCGCCTGCTTGCCCACAGGAGAAGGCGGCAGAGCAGGCGACGGATGCGCGCAAGGCCAGGGAGGCACACGCTATGCTGCAGCGCGCCGCCCTGGGCGGGTACGGCGGCGGCGGCGGGCCGTTGCGGGGCGCGGATGGCCGCCCCATCACAGACCTCAACAGGGTGAGCTGGGCCGCTTCGCTGCATCCATGTTTGCAGAAGCACTGCCTGATGGAAATGTCTGGTGCCGAAAATGGCACCAGGCTGTTGGTAGTGCTCAAGGCATGTGCGTGTTTGCTGCTGCAGGTGCGGCAGTTCCAGGCGCAGGCGATTACGGCTGAGCAGGCCGCGACAGCGGTCAGCCATACGCCAGGCGGCAGGCCAGGCAGCATCCCGGCACACTGGGGGCCTGAACCGGCTGTGGACAGGGCCAGCTGGCAAGCCCAGCCTGCCTTTGAGCCGACGCCGCATGGGCAGCAGCAGCAGCACATGCCTGCCGGCTATCCTGGCCAGGAGCAGCCGCACCTACCTCAGGCGCCAGGCTGGCCCAGCCAAGAGCAGAAGCAGCAGCAGGCGGCCCATCAGCAGCCCTCGGGCTGGCCACCGGCAAGCCAGGCCTCCATTCAAGCAGGCTGGCCCAACCAGCAGCCCCAGGTGCTGCCGGATGCCGGCAGCTGGCAGCAGCGCGGCCCGCAGCAGCCAACCCAGCCGGGCAACCCCCAGCAGTTCCCTGCTCCTTCCGCAGCCATGCCACCGCAGGCTTCCTTTCCCGGTGCTCCCCCTGCACCCCCACCAGCCACGCCAGGTGGCGGCTACGCCGGCGGTAGCTTCCTCACATCGCCCGCCCCAGGCGTGGCGGGCGAGCAGGCGTTTGGGCGGCTGCGCTGGGACCGCCCCTACATGACTGCCAGCGAGGCGGAGAAGCGGGCGGCAGCTCAGGCGGAGTTCAAGGAGGCGCTACGGCAGCAGATGGAGGAGAAGGCGAGGAGGCGGTCAGAGGAGCTGCAGAGGTGGGCGAACGCATGGGCTGAGGTGGGGAAGCGGGTTGTGGTGGGAACACGCTGGGACCACCACAGCACTGTGGAACCCACACGCTGGTATGACAGGGGCGTGCACGTCTGGGTTGAGACGCACGGGTGGAAGCAGTTTGACCTTACCAGTACTTGCGCGATGCGGTGCCATCACAGAGGCACCAAGCCCAGCCCAGCAGCGCGCCGCGGTTTGCAGGGAGAGGGCGGCGGAGGTGGCGGAGGAGGCGCGCCTGGCTGCCGAGCAGGACCGGCTGCGCCTGCAATTTACAGCAGACCAAGCCAAGCAGAAGGCCAAGCAGGCCGCCAAGGAGGCGAGTCGGGCTGCCTCCTCGAGCTGCTGCGGGCTCTCGTACCAACCGCGGTGCACGGAATGCTGGCTGCTGCTGCTGGCATGTGGAAGTGAGCTGCTGAACCGGTGCAGCCAGGCAAGCGACACATGCAACGCTGCTGCCTGCAGGAGACGGGCGGGGGGACGCTGGAATCTGGGGGCATCACAATCAAGTTCAAGCCGCCACCAGCGGGCAGGCAGCAGGTGGCGCAGGACAGGGAGGCGCAGCAGCGGCAGGCGGCCAGCGGGGCCAGCGCTGCTGCTGCCGGCCTGGAGCGGGATGAGGCTGTGCCTGGGATCGACATACGGGTGAAGGCGCTGCCTCCCCCTCTGGCAGCACAGCAGCAGGAGCAGCAGCTGGCTGCCGCCTCCCCGCAGCCGGCCACTGAGGCGCCATGGGCCACTGCAGCCCAGCAGGCTGGCCAGGCACACATGCCGGCAAGTGCGCTGCAGGCCGGGCATCAGCCCGGTGGCGCGGCGCTGCCGGGCGGAAATGGGCAGCCGCCACCGCCGGGCCCACCGCCCCAGTGGCAGCAGCACATGGTGCCCCCACCTGCCATGCCGCCACCGTTGCCTGCTTGGCCAGCGGCGCCGCCAGCGATGCTGGCAGATCACGCCGCGCTGCTGCCACCGTGGGCCCTGCCGCCGCTTGCCCCAGCGCAGCCCCCATCCCGCTCTGTGGCTCCTCCACCATGGGGCACGCCTGGGGCGCCCCGCTACCTGCTGTCCCCGCTTGAGCAGCAGCAGCAGCAGCAACAGCAGCAGCAGTGGGCTGCGGCTATGCCGCTGCCACCTGGCGGCATGCCCTACTCGCTGATGGCGGTGGGCCCACCTCCCCCCCAGTGGATGCAGCCGCATCAGGCGCCCCTGGGGGCAGGCATGCCTTGGCCGCACCAGCTCTCCCCGCAGCAGCAGCCGCTGCTTGGGTATGGCGGCGGGACCCTCCCGCCTCACCCCAGCCAGCAGTTCCCCTGGTCCCACCACCCGCAGCAGCCCTTTGGACCCAGCTCGGCATTCAGCCCTCTGCCTCAGCAGGGCTTTGGCCCTGGCCCGCCGTTCGGCCCAGGACCACCGCAGCATGCTGCGGCGCCACGCCCACAAGTGCCGCACTTTGAGACCAGCAGCGTGCTGAGCTTGAGCGACTCTCCCGCTGACAGGTGGGCTGGTGGAAGGCGGCAGGCAACCTGGCGGGCTGCCACCCTGCGTGTTAATGTGATGCAAGCCGCTCTGGGGGCCTACCAGTGGCAGGCATGCGCTGCGGACTAGGTGCAGAGGCCCCATGCTGCTTGTTCACTTGTGCACTAGTGCAGGATGCCAACACCTGCGGCACCCGCCCAGCCACAGAGCGGCCGGAAGCCCGACATCAACGGCGGCTCCTCTGCCGCTGCTGTGTTGCACCTGCGGGATGGTCCGGCAGAGGCTCCAATGGCCAATACCAGCACCCTGGTGTTCCCACCAGAGCCCAAGCTGGCGCCGCCTCGCAAGCCGCCGCCTCCACAGAAGCGGCAGGAGGAGGCACAGCTGCCTGCGCCTCAGAAGGCCCAGGAGCAGCAGCAGCAGCAGCAGCAGCCGGAGCCGGTTCAGCAGCACCAGCAGCCGCAGCACCCACAGCAGCAGCCTGCCCACCATCACCAAACATCTGCACCCGGGCAGCGGCCTGCCGCCGACGCCGGCCGGCCGCCGGCGGACAAGGAAGGTGTGCTGCCCTCTGCGCCCCTTGCTGGGGCGATGATGCAGTGGGACACACTGCTGCATGACGTGCCTTTCAGCCGGCAGAACAGCGTGATCATGCCGCCGCTGCCAAGGGGGCGGCAGGCGGCGCCCGGTGCGCGGCGCGGCAGCTGGGCGGGCGCCCTGGCTTGAGCGGCCACATGTCTTGCATGGTGGAGAACGTGCTTCATGCTTTCAATGCACGGTGAATCATTGTAAATAGCATTGCTTTTGTGGCCCTCCAAAGATGTGTCCAATACGCCGCACATTGCTGCCAACCACCTTGTAAACCAACTCGTGGACCCACCCCTCCAGTGCACTGTCATGGCCCTCAGCCCCTTGTTCACCGGCTGACTAAGGGGACAGAACTGAGAATAACGAGTCATGAGATCGGCAGAGTGCCAGGCTGGCCATCTGCCCAATCCTTCAACAACCACCAGAGGCGGTGGTGCTCCCGGCAGTCCCGTCCTGCTCTCCATTAAAGTGGGGTTGCTCTCCTGCTGGCACCGCCGGGTTGTTGGCACCATGACAGTTCAGGGGCAAGGGACCTGTAGGGCCCACAAGCGGTTCACGTAGATCCTCTGCGCTACTGGCAGCTGCCAGCGAGCGTGAGGCGGCAACATGGGCCTTAACGGGGCAGGAAAAGTGGCGGCGCCACCCCTCAACAGGAGCGGGTCGCGCAACATGATGCTTATAGCGGTGCTGCTGTTCATGGCACTAATGCTAGGAGTAAGCCGCCGCCGCTGCAGTGGGGCTTCTGGGCTGGCGGCGGCGCAGCGGCTGGTGGCGCCAGCGGCGCTTGCTGGCAGGAAGCAGTGCCAGCAGCGTGTTGCTCGCAGGGCCTCACTCCTGGTCGCTCCCCGTGCTGTGGCTGCAGATATATGGCATTGCGGCTGCGGGGATGCACTGCAGCTGCCCCGAGTGCACGCACCGTAGGCCCTCCCGCGCCACCCTAGAGGCGCGGGAGCGGGATAGGGAAGAGAGGCTGGACGACCCAGCAGCAGCAGCAGCAGCAGCAGCAGCAGCAGCAGAGCAGCAACTAGAACGGTGGCATCGCCCAGGGGCGGCAGCCAAGTCGCTGCAGGATGGCCCGCTGGGGGCGCAGCAGCAGAGGGTGAGGGAGGGGA